AATAAATATTTGTAAACGATAGATATTATGTCTTAATTAATTTTACCAAAACAGACACACTAGACATTTTAGGGATTTTCGAGATATTTTTTTATGATAAAGCAGGACAGACAAACCTGGTATACCGGTCGTTGGTCTAATAGTAGTAGTGTATGCCTAATAATCAATTGGTCGTGGATTCGATACCCGGGTGTTTCTAAAGAATTTATATTTTTTGTAAAACAGTTTAAATGGAGTAGGAATATCAAAATTCTATCCGGGTCACCTCTATCCACAGGAAACATCCATATACAATAGCCGGTAAATTTAACCGCTTTTTGATTTCAGTCCGTGGATTCCCGAATATGCGCACAAAAAGATATCGACAACGCGTCTTAAAAAAAATACTTGTGGGGTGTAGGGGTTATACAGTATTCTGTACGCTGCTTGACGAGGCTCAAACGCAGGACTTCTCGTATTATTCCCAATAGTCCATTAAACCATACAACAAACAAGCTTTCACATTCGCAATATGTGATTAGACCTTAAATTTATTTAACTTAGATTACTTATCTTTTATATCTAGGAAATACAACCACGTCGAAAAACATACAAGTTTTTCCGATTAGACCCGATGACTAATTCGATATCTCTATCGTCATGTGACAATATTTGCTTCAATTTGTTTACCTTTGATTATCGTGTTCTGTGTCGGCATTATGTGACACTTTTATTAAATGCATGGTGCTTGATAGAATTAAGGATGGATGGATCGTTTCCACGCCATCAGCCAAGAGCGTATAATCCAGTTTTTTTAAGTATCCCAAGATTTAAATACATTTTTAATTCTTCTCCATAGATCGTATTTTTTTTCACTTATTTCTTTTTTAAAAGTTAAGTTAAAGAATTTAAATACTGTAATTAGTTTACGCTAGTAGTACACATTTAAATAAAACATTTTTTACCCCGGGGACGGCTGCTGAAAAACCCCCGGAGGGCCGCCCCGCTGTAAAAAATTTTTTTTTTTTTTTTTTTAAATTTTTTTTTTTTTTTAAAAAAGTTTTTTTTTTTTTTTAAAAAAAATTTTTTTTTTTTTTCCCCCCCCCCCCGTTTTTTTTTTTTTTTTTTTTTTTTTTTTTTTTTTTTTTTTTTTTTTTTTTTTCCCCCTTTTTTTTTTTTTTTATACCCCCCCCCCATTTTTTTTTTTTTTTTTTTTTTTTTTTTTTTTCCCCCCCCAACAACTCCCCTTTTTTTTTTTTTTTTTTCCCCCTCTTTTTTTTTTTTTTTTTTAGGGGGGGGAAAATATTTTTTTTTTTTTTTTTTTTTACCACCCCCCGGGGGGGTTTTTTTTTTTTTTTTTTTTTTTTTTTTTTTTTCCCCCCTTTTTTTCCCCCCCCCCCCCCCCCCCCCCCCCCCTTTTTTTTTTTCCCCCTCCTTTTCGGCCGGGCCTACCTCTCCCCCCCCCCCCCCCCCCCCCCCCCTTTTTTTTTTTTTTTTCCCCCGGGGGGGCCCCCCCCCCCCCCCTTTTTTTTTTTTTTTTTTTTTTTTTTTTTTCCCCCCCCCCCTTTCTTCCCCCCCCCCCCCCCCCCCCCCCCCCCTTCCCCCCCCCCCTCTTCCCCCCCCCCTTTTTTTTTGTTTACAGTAGTTTAAAAGTCTCCTGTTAGTATTATGGCAAGATTAACATAGTTATATAAATGTATAATTATAGCCATAGCTATTCGCTTTAACAACGGCCCAGGTCGTTCTACCCTCATCCTTTTTAGCATTTAGTCAACGCTGCGTTTGTTCTTACACGTCTCTAGGGAATTAACTCTATTAAATTGGTTCAGTGAACAGCTTTTGCGTTGACAATGAAAACGTGTTTTGAATTCTATTCGTGTGCGATACTTTATTTACTAATTAGGCATTAATAAAAAATCGATTATAAATTGAAAAATAATATGAGTTAGGCAGGTCTTGAACCGGCATGGACAGCATTCCGTGCTGTTGCTCTAACCGATTGAGCTACCAAGTCCTACTGTTACACGTCATCGTCGAATTTTTCCAACTTTACTCGCACTTATTAGGTATTATTTACGAATGAGTGCCTTTCTTTTGTATTTAATACAGGCATAAATATACACACACACACACATAAAGTGCCTCCTCTACGTATGTTTCACCGATTGTATTTATTTTACGCCAAGTAGTTGATTAGATTTCTTTCTGATTTAAGCCGCCCTTTTCCATTGAAGCTCAAATTTATTTTTGTCCGGAATAAAAACCCAGAACGAGTCACACTTCTTCCTATTCGTTTAACCAATAAGCCGTGGCGGCGGTCATATGACATATTACATTAAAATTTAAAACTAATTCGTAAAACTTAAATAATATTTAGTACATAGATTAAAATCGGTAATATTAGTACTCTACAAAAGTATAAAAATAAATTGAGTTTTCAGTAGACAGATCTAAGTGCATATACAGTAAGTCGTTAAAATAAAATACAAAATCAACGATTTAAGCCAGAGGTGCACAGACCGCGGCCGACCGTCAAATATTGGTAGCCCGTCGACAGAAAAAAATATGCTCAAATTAATAAATAATTTTTAAATTTTAATATCTATTGTCTTTACTATACTGGCGGCCCGCCATCGTTCACGATTTGCCCGAATTGCCCCTATAAGCCCCTATAAGTTGTAACCATTCTAGTTTGTATTTTAAAATCTTAATAGTGATTTATTTCATCTTTTTATCTTCAGGTACCTTTTTACAATCGGTATTGTTCGATGTTCTTTAGCGATGAGCTGCATCTGATTTCTATAAAGCAATGTCAACTATTGATAAAGTTCTACTTGAAATAAATACTGCTATCTGACGTCTATAGTTAGGATTTCGTATTTGCTCTATTGTTAAAAAGAATGCATTCTTTCGTTCTTCGTTTCCTAGTTATGTCTGCTAAAGAATGATCTTCAGTTAAAGAAGAGAGACCCACCATGCTTTTGCAGTACGGGTTATGACTACCACCTCTAGATAAGTGATGATAACCGGTATTGATGGGAGAAACACATACCACAGCACAAAATAATATAAGAGAAACAACTTACGGGGTAACTTATTTAAAGGCGGCCTTATCGCTAAGCAGTTATCTCTTCCAGGCAACCTGAAGTACAGGAAAAAATAGGAAGGAAATAGAAAAAGAGTTGCATTTAAGTAGATAATTTAAAAAAAAACCGAACTAAAGTTTTTCCCGGTGGGTGTAACCACTTAACTAACGAACTGTATTGGTTCCTTGCTATTACTGGAGCCAATTGAGCTACCGTGGCCTACGCGTCATTGTCGAATTCTATTGATACATAGTCGCGCAATGTAATTTCGAACTTAGTACTTGCGCATTAAGTTTTAATGTCTGATGCTTTGCAGCTTGTCCCGCTCGTACATATTTTTTTTTTTAATTCGATTTTAAAATAACAAATATTTCTTAAGATTGTTTGCAAACCTGCTGTGTACTCTTTGGGTATTTTCTTAAACAAAATTAAATAGGACAAGTGTAATAACCTCGGTCAAGCTGGCAGTACTTTAAGTATCTTTTAAAATTGTTTTCCAAACACATTATGGTCACTGAACAAAGAATTGTGTATTTTCACTCGATTCTCTGCTTACACAGCTAATGTATTACGATTGAGATCCTTTTAAACTACTGTACTAGACTTAGCCTCTGTTTGCGCACTATGTTTGTATGTAACTAGACACGCTAAAGATCTTCATTTTGTTGACTTTGTATCTTAAAGAATACAATATTTCATAGTGATCTTTAACTGGCTGTACAGTGCTATACAGTATTCAGTTGAGTCAGTCAGAGATTTTCTGACGAATCTAAATAGATTTTGAAATTTTACAGAGAATAAACTACATTTTATTTAAATAAAACACTTTAACGGTTTAAAACGCGATATATTAGTTAAACTTATTTGAAAATGATTTTTAACTTCGGCCCGACGTTTCGGATGCTTTGCAGTAGCCGTGGTCACGGGGAGACACGGCTGCTGCAAAGCATCCGAAACGTCGTAAGTCTCGCCCGTGTCGTAATATTTTCCCAATCTAAAGTCGATTTTTAGTTTCATAGTATGTACTTAGTTACTTGCCAGTAGGTAAATCAAATTGTTTTATTGGAATACTCAGAAATTATGCTACCCATTTTTTTAATAAATAATAATCTTATACACGTATCACGGTAAAATAATAATAGCAATGTATGCATTTCGAAAAAGCCACTTTGCATAGGAAATATTTAACACACATTTTAGGAAACTAAAATAATATCTCTCTTCCAGATAATCTAGCTCAAAAGCATTCCGTAGGTCGCAAAAGCTAAGCCAAATCTCAGAGGTGCTGTGTATTAATCTGAGCTTGTGTTTTCTAAAATTCCATCTACTTCGCAATTTTGCAGACGCAGTTTAATTTAGACCTTAGCGTTTATACAAATTATTGTGGGGAACTCTATAAAAATGTATTATTCCTTACCTACCCACTTAATGTGTATTTTTCTATTTCTTTTCTCGTGTACATCAGGTTGCCTGGAAGAGATTGCTTCTTAGCGATAAGGCCGCCTTTTAAGATAGTACGTAAGATTATTCCTCTTTTATTTGTTATTTTCTGTGGTTATAAACAATAAAGCTGTAATGAAACAAAATGCTTAAGGTTACTGTATAGTTCGCTCATAAAGATAAATCCTACGTGTAAATATTCCTATTACACGAAACAATATAATAGTTTATGCCTGTTTGTACAATCACAGATATCATATGTTAAAATCACACAAAGATATATTAATTTTTTTGAAAAGTATAAAAAAAGCTGCGATCTTTTTTCGTCTGATCTAATCTTCACTTAGCTACTCAAAACTTAGCTACTAAAAAAGAGAAATTGAAAGACCTGTGAAACGGTATTTTCTTAAATAAAGTGTACAATTTACTTTAATATCAAGATAACATAAATTACATGGTCTTTGTATCAAATAAAATAAATCTTTTTGTTCACAGAATACCAAATGCACGGAAAAAGTCTGCCAGGGCAGCGTCATGGACATCCCCGGCCGAGGGAACTCCTTAAGGAGTCAAGAAGATGTCACGAAAGATGCACAATTATTTCTTAGACAATACTTTTCATCCATAAGGAGGTATGTGTTCCATCAATTTTTGTTATATACTGTTGAAACAATGTTGAGGGCGTTTGTTGTGAGGCTTTTGGTAAAAAAATTATTTTAAAGTTGAAAGTTTGGCGGGAAATTTCAATGCAAAAAAATACCTTTTCTTTAGATTTAATGGTTTTATTCTATTTTTTTCTTTATTAGTTAAATTATTATGTTTCGTCTAATACCTCCAAGAAACCACATTCATGGAGGCTTCATGCTTTTAAACATCAGAAGAAAAAAGGGTTTAAACCGCAAATATTTCGCGTTTTAAACCCCTTTTTGTACAAATAATGTGGTAGACTTAAACTGTTTTTCTTGTCCATTAGAGAAAATACAGATGCACATATGAAGAGGCTACACGAGGTGGAAAAGGAAATTAAAACAAAAGGAACTTATCAGTTGAAGACTCCTGAGTTAGTTTTTGGTGCCAAACTGGCATGGAGGAATGCCGCTAGATGCATAGGTAGAATTCAGTGGAAGAAACTTCAGGTGAGTCCACAATCAATAACAAAAACTACGTGATAGTGAATGTAGAGCATAGGGTAAATATATTTGCATTTTGTTTCACGGATCGATTATGATTGATTTCCCGGGATTCAAATCCAGGATCTCATGGAGTAATAACAGTGGGTTTTATTATTGATCCGTAGCGACGATGTTAAACGTCACAAATGTGAAACGTTGGCTTTTAGTAACTAACAAAAATAAGAATGTTATACATTTTTATAAATGCAATGTTAGTCTAATGTTGAGGTTGACTTATGTATAGACATCTGTGCGGTTACGTCACCTCTTAAACTTTTAACAAGCCTAATCTACAAAACTTCCTAATGAGATAGAAAAAATATCGTGTATGTTGTCATTTGTACAGAAACGCAATATTATGAGTGGATGCATGAGTGTAACACATTATATTTGAGAACCGTCCTTAGGTCCGAGTCCCAGCAGTGGGAACTGACTAAAGAACTAATGAACATTTAGATTTAATACTTAATTGGTCTCAATAGTTTTTGAATGAAATGTATGTGTTATACCTACTCTACACTTTATTTGCCTTGTATTGTTGCACACTTCAATGTACTCAAGTTCGAATTTTAGGTAGAGAAAAACATTAGTTCCGATTTTTTTCTTAATGCCTAGTATAAGATCGGCTTTTGGAACTGAAGTTTTATTGACGTCACTGCTATGTAGAGGAGTTTCCATCATTGGCATGAATAAGTGGTGGTAGCTGGTTGCTGACCGATGCCCGTTTCATAAATTTGTTCGATTTATAATCGATTTCTTCAAACTCAATATAAATTTGTTGTACTTAATTTTAGATATTCGACTGCAGAGAAGTGACCACAGCCAGCGGAATGTTCGAAGCTCTATGTAATCACATAAAATACGCAACAAACAAAGGGAATATAAGGTAATAGGTCTATTTGTAGCGCATCGCATTTGTATGGGCATACTGATTTATCGTCACTCAATTTATCAAAACAAGGAGAGAACGATGGGGACGGCGAAATACGGTTATCCTTTATTTTTCGCACGTACGCTTCAAGCGTAATAATTTTAATAATAAGAATCTGGGGTCTCGAGTCATCCGTCTTCTTTTGAAATTACTGTAAACAGATCTTTCGTTAAGGTGAAGTTGAATTTGAGATAATTCGATTGAGGGTTTTCGCGTTTCGCGCTTCTGAAATGCCGAAATATATTTATTTTGATAGAAGAGGACTGACAGGCATTTTCACCTGGTAGAAGATGGATAACTCATAGGAAGCCATATAACATGTAAGTAGGCAACCAATTTTGGCCTTGGATATACTAACTACGACAGTTCCTTAAATTAAAATAAACAAAACACATTCGAAAATCCACAGACTAAAATCGAAACGAGATTGGTGTTGGATTCGGTGATCAGAACTTCGATATTCTTACCACCCTATATCATGCAATACTTTGTCCGCCAATAATATTCATTCTTTTTGGACGTCCAAATTCGTTTTTGCAAACCCCCATCTTCATTATAAATTTAAGCTCTTGCCCACCACGTCGATCGCGTCCCTTCCCGTCTTTCTTGCATGTTAACCTTAAAAGATAGACATATAGCATTGCGGACCCTTTTTTAGATAATTTAAGGAGAAATCATTCTTTCATACACATTTACTAGTATCTTGAACCGTTTGTTCACATTTCTCGCTGTATCTTCGCTCCTAATAGTCACATTGTAATATGCCTATAGCCTTCCTCGATAAATGCTCTAACCAACACAAAAATAACTTTTCAATTCGAACCTGTAGTTACTGAGATACGCGCGTTAAAAAATTCTTCAGCTTTATATATTAGTATAGATTACATGGCGATCGATGGGTTTGGTCTGTACCGAGCCTAATGTACTGATTAATATGAAGCAAAGTAATACAAACATTTAATTATAAACTTAAATGTACTTCTATTTAACAAAAGAATTACAATTAAAGTTTCAGAGTGGACCGTGTCATGTTTAAGACTTGTTTGATTTCACAATGAGTGCAAACAAAAGGGCTCTTAAATTATTCTAAAGATCATCTGCAGAATTTTAATTATTATAATCTCGTTTGGTTTTACTTAAATTAAATAACCTTCTACTAGCAAATGCTAAATACGTGTTTCACAAAGTATCCTATTTTGCAATTTTAATAAATGTATAATTTAGTTGACAACAAGTCCTGGTACACGAAGTTCGGTTCCCAGTCACTAAAATTTATATTCTGTACATACAGTGTAATAGGAGCTCATCGTTTGTCCTTAATGTTTCATTTATACGGATGGCATTGGATGTTTGGAAATTCCACAGACTAAAACTGAAAAGCTACTTTTCCCAGGCTCTTTTTATCTGTGGTCGATGGTTCGTAACCAGAACGAAATTTCGATATTTATAATAATATCAAAAATGTTTAACCTGTTTTGAGCAAAATTATAAACAGATCTGAAACATGGCTCGGCGGGGATCCAGCCCACGATCCATTTATTATAAGGAGTACATTGATACCATTACCACTAGTAACGTCAAAATTCCTCCTAGAATCTTAAATTTGACTTAATATATTTCACTTTCATCCAAGTTAAAATAATTCATTACACTATGTCAAACATAAACACTTGTTCGCGAATATATGTATTGTTTTTGTTCAATCAGATGTCCAGTGATGATGTGTTTCAGGTCAGCGATAACCATATTTCCTCAGCGCACAGACGGCAAACACGATTACAGAATATGGAACCCGCAGCTGATAACATACGCTGGATATATAGAACCCGATGGGTCAGTGCTGGGTGATCCGGCTAGAGTTGAATTTACTGAGGTAAGTTTGAGGTTACTTAAAAATTGGAAGACACAGGTGTAATGGTAGCATAGGTGGCTAATAATCAACGAGTCGCGGGTTCGACGCCCATCGTGTCAAATATTTGTGTAATTTTTCTGAAGCATGGTGGTATAGCTGGATATTAAATTGGTGATAGGAATATTGAGATCTACACTGTCACATATGAAAAAGGTTGTTTAATATCCAATCCATTAGGTTGACAGGAATCTCGTTTAGTTTATGTTGCCTATCTTCCTCTTTCCTGAAAAATACTGTTAAATATTGTAAGATGTAAGACATTTTTGTTGACTCTAATTTGTTGAAGGTTGAGGAATCTTTGAAATGTGGGCCCTAGAAATTATATCTATGTGTCTTATTTATAAAGGCAAGTAGGTAAATTATAGATTGGATGCCGCTTCAAGTTCCGCCTGTGTCGTAGAATTTTGTCAATAAAAATAGATTTTTAATTTAGGCATACAAAAAAATGCAGACATACAGATCTAAAACAAAGTTACATGTCGACAAACTTAAACATAAGGACTAAGTACACTTAATATAAATAGATAGTGACTTTACTTACTACTAATTAAATTTTCCTTATCTAAAATTAAATACTTATCATCGATAATATATCATTTTAATATATTAGCAATAACATGATTGTAGAGTCAGAAATTTCCCTAAGTACAAATATTTATTCTTAGAACTTTCGCACCTTTAATTGAATGTAATTAGGTAAAATAGACTATTGTCTCGACGAAGGAATTGTTTCTCTAACTGTCCTGTTACCACGGAAATCATTAATTCAAGGTTCCTACGATAAACGAGATATTAACAACTATTGTGATGTTATTTATGTTACTACATATGCTTGTAACTACATTTATACATTTTGTGTGACTTCGTTCAATTGTTAAAGGCGTACGTGCATTGTTTAAGACGTTTGGGGTTTAAAGACTGGATAAATAACTAACTGGCGTATTATTTTTTTTATTGAGACGACAGACAAGCATGAGGTTGAAGGCAATTGATTGTCTGTCCATTGTAATCTATACTAATATATCAAGCAGAAGTTTGTTTGTTTGAACGCGTTAATCTCTGAAACTAATAGTTCCAATCGAAGAAAAATGTTTAGCTTTGTTTGAAACATTTATCGAGGAAGGGAAACATCGCGTTGCGAAGATACAGAACAACAACCAGACGGGAATTTTATTCATCTTTGAGAGTGGGCGATGCGTGCACTGTGAAAACGGTTCATGTTACAAAAAACATATTTGTATGAAGGAACTATTTCTCTTTAACTGATTTTTAATGTCTACAACATTATTTGTCTTTGAAGATTAACTTGCCCACGCGGACAAAGTCGCAGCCACAGCTAGTATAACAATTCTACGATGCGCGCATCAGTACGGTCTTATTAACGCGTTTAAATATTGTTTCCCATTTTAAAATTAAAAAGCCACCATTCAGCAACCAATTATGTTTTCATCTGAGTTTGTTTTTAACATTGCTATTGTCTGCTTTTTAATTAAGCAATCTGAAATTATAGGTTTGTATTAAGCTCGGATGGAGACCACCGCGTACTCCGTGGGACGTATTGCCGTTGGTGTTGTCGGCTGATGGGAGAGACCCGGAGTACTTTGAAATTCCTCGTGAAATCGTCATGGAAGTACATATAGAGCACCCGAAGTAAGGATCAAGCAATTGCTTAATTAAACAAAATCCTTTTAACGGCTTAAAACGCGATGTATTTAAGTTAAACTTATTTGGAAATTATTCGAATTAAAGCCTGACGTTTTGGATGCTTTACAGCAGCCGTGGTCATGGGAGGAGAGGCAAAGTGACGAGGTAATTTACAGTACTTACCTTCTCTTTTTTTTGTTTAACTAATTTTACTATCGCGTTTAAACCGTTAAAGTTGTATTATAATTTAATATGAATTTATTTTTAAGTGCTATTAGTAAACACATAATAATATTTTTAGTGTTATTTGTAAATTTCTCTTTTTTCTAGCTACGATTGGTTTAAAGATATGGGTCTGCGCTGGTATGCACTACCAGCTGTTTCCAATATGAGGCTCGATTGTGGAGGACTTGAGTTTACCGCGACTGCTTTCAACGGCTGGTACATGGGCACTGAGATTGGCTGCCGTAACTTTTGTGATGCAAACCGATTGAATATTGTCGAGGTAAGTAATTATTTAGTCTCTTCTTCAGGCTAATTAGGTACTATATTATGGATTACTTAAATTAAAAGGAATTACTCGCAGATTATGTTTAAAACAAGCTAAGCACTAACTTAGCTTAGCTAACGTTATCTGCATAGGTTACTTTAGGCTGCGTGTTGTTACATCGCTTCATAGCGTTACGGTTTAAAGGTTGGTTACAATAATTATATAATACTGTCAATAAGAAATGTGTATAGGACGGGGTCTCCGTGGACACGATAGTTCAATCGGTTAGAACAGCACGGAACGCTGTGGATGTCGATTCAAGTCACCCTGCGTCGTAATTTTCTAAATTAAATTCATTTCCAATTAATCATAATCATGTGAAATAGCATGCGAAAAAATATATTTTTTTCAAAGTTTCCAAATTTATAAAACTGTGAAAATAAATTGACGCCAATCAAATATATATTGAACTAGCTGTGTCAGCGACTTCGTCCGCCTAGAATAGTTGTTTTAGGCAACAATATTTGTTTTTGCAAACGTCTGTTCATCTTTAATTATAATATATAATAATTCAAGATGAAAAGTATAATTAAACCTGGCATGGTGGAAAAGTCCACTCTCACCAATATTAGCCGCAGCGCGATGTTTTTTAGCCTCGAACCTGCCTCTATAAATGCTATAACAAAAATACTATTTTCAATTCGACACACTAGTTCAAACAAACAAACTCTTCAGCTTTATATATTAGTATAGATTATATTTACGTGTATACCATAGTATATAGTTACTGTATGCAAGATCTTGTTTCAGTCTGTCGCTCAAAGAATGGGTCTGGATACGAGTTCCTATGTTTCTCTCTGGAAAGACAAAGCCCTTGTTGAAGTTAACATCGCGGTGTTACACAGTTTCCACAGAGATAACGCGTCGATAGTGGACCACCATTCTGCCTCGGATCAATTTATAAAGCATTTGGATAACGAAAATAGAAGCAGGTATTACTTATTTAAATATCAAAATCTATAATTATACATATACCTTATTCTTAACAACAAAGTTTATTTGGTTCAGCAGCTAACGTCAAATATTGCTTATATTGGTCGGATAGAGCACAGAATTTATTTACGATACTTGCCTGTAAACACAGATATATTTCCTCCCAATGCTGTATAAAATTTAGGATTTTGCTTAAAAAATATTGAATGTCGTGCTATGTTTAAGTAATCTGTATTATTTTTAGGGGTGGGTGTCCATCAGATTGGATATGGATAGTGCCGCCAATGTCTTCCTCGCTAACAGCTGTTTTCCATCAAGAAATGGCCTTGTATTATGTTAGACCCTCCTACGATTATCAGGTAAGTAAATATAAATAACATCTAGTACGATGACACAAACTAATGTTAATGTTTAAAAATCGAAAATAAATTGAAAAACTTTTCGACTCGGGCAGAACTTGAACCGGCATCGTCAGTGTCGAAATTTTTGAAAACTCCGAATTTCGAAAATTCCGGGTCGAAAATTTTTTTCAATTTATTTTCGATTTTTAAATTATATAGTGCCTGCATGTAAAAATATTAATGTTTTCAAATAATATACTCCAAAACCTTTGTTATTAAAATTAAAAGTTATATATCCTCTAAGATACACAATTTTTAGAATATATATCAAGTGCTCTTAGTTTAGGTTTTGAAGCTGTAAAACTAATTAATACTTAAATTAAATGTCTACAGAGTTCTTAAACTTTTCATATCATTAAAATCATTGAAAAATATTCCATTATTTCTTTTGTTTTCTAACAGGTACTGATATTGTAAAGAAATAAATAAAACACAACAGTTTAAGACGTCACGACATCCCACACAAAGCGATTGGCAAAAAGACTTTTAAACTGTTAAGTGTTTTATTTAATGCGTATTACTTGCATAGAAAAAAAAATATTATTAGTCACTTGTTTGTATTTTATTGATCTCGAAAATCTCCTCAGGAACCAGCATGGAAGACTCACCAATGGTCTAATTCTGACGGTAACAAGCCGCGTCGAAAGTTCCACTTTAAGCAAATCGCGAGAGCTGTCAAGTTTACTTCGAAACTCTTCAGCCAAGCTCTCTCGAAACGTATCAAAGCAACTATTCTGTATGCGACGGAGACGGGCAAATCTGAACAGTACGCGAAGGAGTTAGGGTCCATTTTCGGGCAAGCCTTCAACGCTCAGGCAAGTGCCGGAATGTTTGAGCATTGCTCATGATTAAAACTATTCAAATGCATAATTGCGTTTCTTCGCGTTTTCCAGAGTTTTCGGTGATTGTATAAAATAACTTGCAGATTTATTTGCTTGCATAAGAGCGCTTTACATTCTCCGCATTTACAAAGCGACCTGAAGTTTTTTTGGGAAATCTATAAATAAAACATCAAATACTTATTCAAAGCAAGATAGGTCGACGGCGCATCTTCTTTAGATGTTATGAGGCAGGAGTATTTTACCTACCATCAAGAGAACCCCATGCTTGCTCTTCCCAAATCATGAAAACAAAATCTTTTCCGCATCTTGCTAGTGAAAACCTCTCCAGATCCTAATTTTTACCTCTCTACCTGTTCCATCCGAACCAGAATTTCCTCAATTTTTCTACCCATTTTGACCACTTGGCCCGGACCATTGTGTAGCCAGGTCGACGTCTGTAGAGCGTCAGTTATCAGCGGAGTTTATTAACAAAAGAACAACGACTTTGCCAAGTGGATCTTTGAGTGTGCTCAAACAAAACTTTGCCTTTTTACAGGTTCAGTGCATGGCAGACTACGACATGTTCTCGATAGAGCACGAAACACTCCTCTTGATCGTAACTTCAACTTTTGGCAACGGCGAGCCGCCTGCGAATGGCGTCGTGAGTAAATTCTAAAGATTATTATTTAATACGCCCGTGTCGCTTTAAAATAAAGGTCCTTATTTGTTTCCAGAAGTTCGGAGTTTCATATTTGAGTTTGGCTATTTGTTGTTAATGTATGACTACTAATTTATTACGTTAAACTGCGTAGTTTGTAACGATGGTAACGAGTTTGCATGGTAATTAGAATAGGGTTGGGCCGACGTTCGCTTCACATTCGGTTTTTAAGAATTTTGGCAGCTTTAACCAGTGCCATTATTTATGCCATTGAAGGTTATGTGTGCTTTAAAAAACATTGTAATGCAATTCAAAAATAACGACTTTTGGGCGGGATTTTTGGTGTAATGGTAGCAACGTATGTGTAATGATCAACGAGTCTTGGGTTCGATCCCCACCAGGTCTACCAATTAAGGTAATGAATTTATTACTCGTATAGATTTCTGGATTCTAAATGGGTGGTAGAAATATCAAAATTCCGGTCGGGTCACGAACTACCACCCACAGATGAATAAGCCATAGCTAAAATAGGTCAACAGCGTTACATATGACAGGTTAAGATATTATATGGCTGAGGTATTTTATTTACCATTAAGTAAATCATAGTTGTCTGCTCTCCTGTATCATTTAAAAATAAAATAAACGGCGTACAAAGCTATTATGTAGTTGAGTATAAAATTAAATTTTCAAAAATCATAGCGAATAATTGACGATGTTACGAAGAAAAGTTTGAATTCAGACAAATCCAAATTTGTATTATGTACAACGGAGAGGTTATTCGTAAACATCGTTTTATTTTTTGCGAGGAAACGTGTACCAATATTTGCCCGATGCTAATTTGAACCGAATTGTCGGCGGAGATTCGGTTTTGATTAAACCACAATCGACCCATCCCTAATTAAGACGATTGCGGTTTGTTGGAATCACCATGTTTACTTTTAACATGAACATGCTAACGATCTCAAGAGTATTCTAATAAGGTCGTATATTTCCCAGGCCTTTGCTGAGCATCTCTTTCAAATGCTTTACAACGAAAAGAAGAATCAAAATGAACAGATAGACAGTGCTGGGTGAGTTCAAATAGTGTAGTGAAATCCCGTATCCCCCTCGTGGGGCATGGGGCGAACACATCTTTGTGTTCGTTTTACTGATCCGTTTTTTAACAGGCAAGTAATTGATCAGACTTGCTCTGTCCGACCGAAACATGTTTTTTGTTTCCCTGGGAAAGGAACCAAGGACCCCTCGCGCTTAATGCAATGCTAGGTAATGCGTTTACCATTTGGCTACAGAGGCGGTGAGTTCAAATAGTATAACTTTAATATTAAAATAATCGGACTGCCTGGAAGAGATCGCTACTTAGCGATAAGGTTGCCTTTCATTTATACGTAAGAACGTAAGATTTTGCCTCTTTCCTATTATATTTTTCTTTAGTGTGTACTATACATAATAAAGATAGATTAAATAAATAAATAAAAACAATTAGGCTTCTTCGATTTATAAATAGGAAAAATATTGTAAGTTGTATTTTTCTTAAATTTAAAATGTATATTAATTTTTCATCAGAAATGCTGCTGAAAACGTGCACATACATAAAAGTATTGAGAAATTTTATGAGTTTTATCTACCAATTGAACTACAGTCGTCCAGCAAGATCGTAGTTCAATTGGTAGATAAAACGATGGTACTCTGTTGGTAATGGGTTTGGGTCCCGCCTGTCTAATTAATTGTTATAAATTTTTGTTGTAAGCTATTTTTTAAGGGGACAGTTAAAACATATTATTTTTACAGCTATAAAACACCAACACCCAAGTCGTTGATGAGAGCTAACAGCGTTATGACACCTCGCAATGAATACAAAAGACAATTATCTCGTTTGGAGTCCAGTAGGAGCAATAATGAATATAAACGGACACTCAGTCGACTAGAATCCAATAAGAGTAAGTGCGAACGAATGATACTATACTTGAAATAACTACTTTCTAGATTACTAGATTAGACTAGATTTTTGTAAACTTAAACTTCCAATATAAAAAGTTGCGTTGAATCTCAATGGCACTTCTTGTTCGTTTATTGGAAACACAAATTTAACATTTTTGACATTAGAGACACCCTCCATCATTAGACTCCCCGTGACCACGGATGCTGCAAGGATCCAAAACGTCGGACCATAGCTGAAACAATTGTCAAATAAGTTTAATATATACCGCGTTTTAAATCTTAACATTAGTATGAAAAGCCTTTTAGCCTTAGTATACATTATGTTGATTTTAATATTATTTTCCCAAATAAGTTTAACTAATATATCGCGTTTTAAACCGTTAAAGTGTTTTATTTAAATGTGTACTACTCACGTAAACTATTTTATTATTTTCATTGAAATATTTCTTCTGAAAGGTTGTATAGCTTCTGAAAATTACTATATATGATACTGTGAACTGTTTTAGGTAGTCTCGGAGGTGCATCTACTGTAGAACACATTGGTCCCCTCAGTAATATTTGTTACTCCGTCTTTGCCCTGGGTTCTAGCGCTTATCCAAAGTTCTGCTGCTTTGGTAAAACTGTAGATAGAGTACTTAAAGACTTAGGTGGTGACAGACTTCTTGATGTCAATTGTGGGGACGAAATGTATGGACAAGAACAGCAATTTAAAACTTGGTCGTCAAATATTTTCCATGTAAGTGGAGTGGACAAAGTATTATAAATAGTACTACAAAAAGCAAATGCGGCGATATATATGATTTATCCTTGTTTAAGGTTGCATGTGAAACATTCTGTTTAGAAGACGACACAGTTAAAAACGCCCAAAAATCTTTCGGTGATCTACCATTAACAAAAGACACAGTAAGGTTTAGCAGTGTCGAAAAAGGTTTACATATGAAGTCTGCTCTTGAAACGAGCTATAAAAGAACATTAATTACTTGCAAAGTGGAAGAAAATAAATGTCTAGGAGATTGTTCGACTGATCGTGCTACTATATTTGTTGATATGAATGTTAATGTAAGTCATATATATTATCAACTATAAGATAAATTTTTAATTGTTCATTTACTAGACACCCTTTATTTAATCTCAAGCAAAAGTCACTTACTAAACTTACAAGATCAAGAAGATGAGATATAATATATTAAAATATCTTCTTATTGTAAAAGTTAATGAAACTTTTAAATAATATAGGAGCCAACACAATGCATAGTATTCAGAGTTTGAAGTGGAGTCAAAAAACAAAAATGTTTGAACATACGTAATAAGTAGCTATTAAAATGTTAGTAAACATTACAGGATGAATTTAAATACGAACCAGGAGATCATATAGGAATAATGGCTTGCAATCGTAAAGAAATAGTTGATACGATATTATTAAGACTAAAAGATGTAGACGCTTGTGATAAGCCTTGTCAACTCCAAGTGCTGAAGGAAACACTAACGGCCATTGGTAAGACCAACACTGATTCTTTTAATTCATTTGAAGTTATCATTTGATAATAATTAAACAAACTGATGATGTAGGTGCTGTTAAAACTTGGGAGAAACACGAACGCCTACCCGCAGTTACTATTAGAGAATTATTCACTAGGTTTTTGGATATAACTACGCCGCCGTCTACAAGGGTTTTGAAATACTTAGCCAGTGTATGCACTGATACAAGTGACGCTGATTGTTTGAAGGAACTCGTAGAGGTGAATATTTTCCTAAGAATAATATGTTTGTTTTATTTTTAATATTAGAGTTTGCCTGAAAGAAATTTTGACTAAGTAATATTTCAATGTATGGCTAAGAATCAACGGGCCGTGGGTTCGATCCCCATCGGGTCTGATATTTTTTGATCGATCATAATTTTTCTAGAATATGTTGGACTTCGCCAGGATCTGGGTATTAAATATGTGATAGAAATTTCCAAATTCCGCTCGGGTAACGAAATACTGTCCACAGATTCAAGTTCAACTACCATCAAGTGGGAAGTCACTTGACTGTCCTAGTTTATCATCAAAAAGATTTTTAATTTGATTGAAATCAAATACAATATTATATAAATTTATAGGATTCAACCAAATATGACGACTGGAGATATCACTTCTACCCTCATCTCGGTGAAGTGTTGAAACAAATTCCATCGTGCAGACCTCAAGCTTCACTATTAGCAGCATTATTGCCTCCTTTACAACCGAGATTTTACTCGATATCTTCATCACCTTTGGCACATCCTAATAGAGTACATATCACCGTTGCTGTAGTAGTATATAAAACACAGAGTAAGAAATTGTTTCAATTAATATTTATTGAAGATTGCTGTTAAGCGTTATCTATCTATACATATAATAAAAATGTAATCGATCGCTGTCTATAGATGTGATAAAAATATTATAGGAGACCTTTACTTAATACAATCGATTTTATAACAATGATTTTTTGAATTCTTTTCTGTCTGTCTGTGTGTTTGTGCACGCTAAACTCAGAAACGGCTTATTTGATCTAAATGTGGTTTTCAGTAATATAAGGTCATGTCGAAATTGATAGGCGATTGTAGGTTATATAAAGCACACGTTTTCTGGAAGTGCACATTAATATATTTTTATCGCTTGTTGTTACTAACAGCAAGCTGTCTTGTGTGAATAATAATGCATCCTTAAATTAAATACGGATATAAATTCTTCTCTTATTACTATTGTAGATGGAGAAGGCTCAACTCATTACGGTGTATGCTCGACATATTTGCAGAGTCTAACGCCCGGCGATGAAATCATCGCATTTATTAGAAGGTAAATATTATCTGCTATCAATAATATTAACAGGAATGACACGTGTTGTTCACTGTTCTTTACCGTTTCCTATATTATGGTTAATTACCACTTTATTTTTAATACATTATATGAAGCCGCTAAATGTAGAGTGGCCTAACTGCAGTTTTATGACTTGACTTATTTATATTTTTATAGTCTAAGAATCATCATTAATCAACAAGAGCACAGTGACCTAAAATTGTAAACGCAATTTTTACGCAAATAGTAGTACAAATTTATTTTAGCATAAGTTTAATTTGGCAAAAACCACATTGCCATAGTGGCCTATGTATATTATACACAGTATGCTCTAAAATCAATTAATATTTTACAGGGCTCCTAATTTCCACATGCCTCTAGACCATTCAGTTCCACTCATATTAGTAGGTCCTGGGTCTGGTATAGCGCCATTTAGAGGGTTTTGGAATCATCGAAGGCACCTTATGGAGAATAACAGTTCCGAACAATATGGCCCTATCTGGCTATTTTTCGGATGTCGATACAAAGGCATGGACTTGTATAAAGAGGAAAAAGAAAAGGCTGTGAAAGATAGAGTTATTTCAAAGGCTATGGTAGCTTTTTCCAGGGAAGAATGTGTTACTAAGGTACTAAAAATCCTTCCTATATACCTAAGAACTATCGGTTCGAATTGAATAATTCTTTTTGTGTTCGATAAAGCATATATCAAGGAAGACTGGGCTGCAACCAACAAGAAAACAAGAATGCCAAACTAAAATTCTAAGAAACAGTGGAGAATGTTTGAAGAAAATTATTCATTGTTGGGGGTTTTACCTATAATTAAGTTTCAAAGAATTATTCCTCTTTAGAATTAAAAAAATGTTCGCGACATATATAACTAACTTTTAAAATGAACTCACAAGAATCGTTTTACGGTAATATGGTAAAAGAACGTTTACCAGGTTAGTCAGTTGTATAAATGATTTTTTTTTTCAGAAACACGTACAAGCTCTTCTGGAAGACGAAGGTGATGTAATAACAAAAATGCTTCTGGATCAAGGAGGCCACTTTTACGTATGTGGTGACTGCAAAATGGCTGAAGAAGTACAACAAAAACTGAAAGAGATCATCAAGAAACATGCAAAGTTATCAGACGTGGAAATTGATGACTTCATCTTGTTCTTAATGGTACGAACTAATATTCATATGCATTAGCACTGTCCGTAGTTTATGCCTAATATAATAAGTTAGATATTTGACGGGCTCTTTAGTCTAATGGTTACACGGTATGGCTAATAATCAAAGGTTTGTAGGTTCGATCCTGGTGAGGAACACTATGTTTCTAATCAATTTGTATTTTTTTTAACATTTTGGACTTCGTCTCGAAACGTGGAAATTAAATGTGGGTTGAAATACCGAAATTCTGTCCGGGTTACGAACCACCCCTACAGATAAAAAAACCGTAAAGCTTTTCGTTTTCAGTCTATGGATTTCGAAATATAGAAAGCCAATATTACCTATCGAAGTTATGGATACAATACCTATAAAGTATCCATATCTTCGACTTGTTAAAAATATGTTAACTAATGTATTGGTGTATTAAGCTGTACAATCTATCAGTCCAGTCTGTAGTTGCACTTAATATGTAATTTCAAACGGTTTAAATTAGTTTTATTTAAGATTCAAAATGTACTAATGTTTTAATTACAGGAGGAAAATAGATATCACGAAGACATTTTCGGTATTACGCTTCGAACGTCAGTGGTGCATACAAAATCACGTGAAACAGCCAAAAGGACCCGTTTAGAATCTGGACAGTCACAAACATAATGCAGTTTAGGTTACTTTATTTAGAAGTTGTTTTAAATTTTGTACTTAAAAAAAGGAAGATTTCATATTTTTTCTGAATCTGTTCTTGATTGTTATACCTGCAAACAAGTATTAATACATTTTTGTTATATTTATCAAAGTTACCTAACTAAATCCTTTGTGAAAGACACATTCTAGGTGCTTAATATTTAAGCTTATTTTATTTTTAATATATTTATATTAAGTATTGTAGCTATAATTTACCTTGCGATGTATTATTATTTTTTATCACTATGCACACACTATTTTATTAAAGATAGTGGAACCAAAGGAGAAGATAACTATAATAAAAAATGTTTGGCTTACTGTCTGTTTTATTTTTGAAACATATATTGTAGATTAAGTAAATAGGCAAAGTCCTGAATTGTGATAAGCACACAGAGGTCTTAGATCCGAATCCTTATAAAGTTTAATTGTATTGTGTTCAAAATTAAAGTACGACAGTAGTTAATAATAATAATAAAACACAGTTGCATAAACAAATAAAATACAAATATAGTAATACTAAATTAATTGTTATTTACATAAAAGAGTTAGTGCAGAGGCGGCCTTATCGCCTATGGCGATTTCTTCCAGGCAAAAAAACAATAAATAAGTAAAAGCCAACGAGAATGAGATAGAAAATGCAAAAAATTGTAAATTACAGTGATATCAAATACTAACACAACAGAAAACATTAACACACTAAACAGTAAAAACTTAAGATCAAAATTTAATCTTACGAAAGATGCAACATTATAGATATATTAAAAGTATAAGCCAAGACTAAACAATAATTTAAACAAAATATTGTTTGACTTTGGCCTTGAAGGAATTAAGACTTTGTGAGAGCCTAATCGCGGGGCAGCTTATTCCATTGGCGGACAGCCTGTACAGAAAAAGTAGTTTTTACTTCTATTGTGTTAACTTTTTTAATAGGTACGTATAAAGTATTAAAGGAAACAAACCAAAACGTGTACATCAGCTTTTTCTTCGAACGACGTGATCATAAATCTCGATGTGCGTGTATTTAGGCGAATATATCCGTTGCTTGCTTGTGTTCTGTCCCGGGTCCTGCTGGGGATCGGGACAGATAATTTTGTGGTCATGTCGATTTTGAAAAAGGAGGCCCCGATCTGGATCCATGACCGGCTGAAAAATGAACTCTTAATTAAGAAGTGTAAGAAATAAATACACATTTGAACACTTTAGTATTTGTCACATGTTTGATGGTGGCACTATATAAATTAAGGGCACTGTAGATTCACGATGACGTATAGGACACGGTACATCGATTGGTTAGAGCAAAAGCACGGAACGCTGTGGATGCCGTAAAATTTCATCAATCTAAAATGGGTTATTAATTTGCATAATTATACCAAGACTCGAATCTACGTTCGAGTTTGGCCAATGAAGGTAACGCCGTTTGTGTGAATCAACCTTTATTCATACACCTTTAAAAGTTAATGTTATTTCAAAAAGAATTGCGTTTTAGTCCAGGTCGTGGAACCTGTGACAGAAACAGTAAGATTCGATTTCACGACCAGTTGATTATTAGAAATTTATTGCTACCATTACATCAAAGATCCCACCACAGATCTACCTTAGATTTATAAACAAATGTAATTGATTAAGATGCAAGTAAACTAGTAATTATCTTAAATAATTTAAACGGAGGGAAAGTCGCGATTCCGTTTTCCAACTGAATTCGGGAATGATTGGTCTGTTTTTGCGTCAAATTGAATGTAACGATCGAGCGGTAAAGTTTAGAATGGAATTCTTGCATAGTTTGTCACTCAATGCAATTCAAGTCCAAATTAGATTGGGTCGGAATTTAAATTGAACTTGTGAAGTTAGTGAAACCGTGCCTGATTACTTTAAAATTATAAGTAACTTAAACTCTTTATGTAGAGAAGGACAGACAAGCATGCAAGCAGATTTCACCTGATGGTATGTGATATACCCCAGTCTATAGCATCTAAACAAGATAGGTTATCCACCTATTATAGCTTTGGATATTCGGAAACCCACAGACTGAAACCGAAACGCGATTAAGCTTCACGGCTTTTTCATCTGTGGTCGATGGTTCGTGACCCGGACGGAATTGGTATATTCCTGTATGTGTGAAATCTCGTCTCCCCCTCGTGAGGCATGCGGCGAACATATTTCTGCGTCCGTTTCACTGATGCGTTCTTTAACAGCCAAGTAGTTGATCAGACTTCTGTGCCCTGCCCGACCGAAACCATTTTTTGTTTCCCTGGGATTCAAACCCAGAACCTCTCGCGCGTAACGCAACGCTAGGCAATACGTTTAACCGTTTGGCTACAGAGACTGTCCAAAGATCATATCTATGCTCCTACCACGTATTTAATATTCAGATTTCAAGATGACGTCCAACATGTTTCAGAAAAATTAGGAATATGTTGGACCCGATGTGGATGAAAACACGACCCGTTGTTGATTGTTATACATTACTACCATTAAACGTACCTATATCTTTTCATAAAACAGCCTTACTTACAAGTGTATAGGAGTGCTGTAATTATCTATTATAGTAGCATGTCGACGGTGTCCTTAAGTCTAATAGGCTGTCACTAACATCGCAAAACGTCATGTTAAACTAGCGATACAGCTTATAGCTTGAGGAAGACGTTGTTTGCTATCTGTTCTAATATATAAAGCTGAAGAGAGTGTTTGTTTGAACGCACTAATCTCAGAAACTACCAGTTCGAATTTAAAACTTCTTTTCCTGTTGAGTTATCGAGGAAAACTATAGGCTGAAACATCGCGCTGTAACTAATACGAACTAAGAAACAGCGGGAAATGTTGAAGAAAGGGGAAAAATTCCGATGCGTACGCTGCGAAAACGGTTCACGATACTAAAAAAATATGTAGGAATGTATGATATCTCTTTAAACGATCTAAAACAATATTGACGACACTTATGTCTATATTTTAAGATTAACTTGCAAGAAAGACGTGTTTGCAAAAATTTATAAACTGTTCAACGCGGACGCAGTAGCTGACACAGCTAGTTTATCTATATGACTTCAATAGAAGATCCACGTTTTCGTGAAGAATGTTTTAAAAAACTGTAATTTTTTTCACATGATATTGCACAGGATGGCACTATATAAATTGAAAAAAAATTACGACTCGGGCAGAACTTGAACCGGCATTCACAGCGTTCCGTGCTGCAGCTCGAACCAATTGAGCTACCGAGTCCTTAGTGGCTCAATTTTTAATTAATATCAAGAAAATTGTTAAGTGAAACGTTCTTGTACTCTGAAATCATTTTGCCCCTTTTTTGAATATGGGGCAGACTTCGTGCACAGACATGAACATTTTCATTATATGTCCGACGTGCTATTATGTTCTTAGGATTCGGACTCTGGTCTTCTCAGGATTTTCGTTATGTTAAGCAATGTAGGCTCTATGGATGCATTCAAATTCGACTAGGTTCATAGTTAAATTTGAATGCATCCAGCTGTTCAATTTAATTTGAGGTCATTTGGATAACCGCATGAGGTCGATAACTATTCAAGCAGATTATAATTATTATTATTGGTAACAAATAATTATGATAATTATGAATCATTACTAATATAATAAGCAAAACGGAAGTCAAATACTGTCTGTTGTTTACGCCAGTAGTACACATTGAAATAAAACACTAACGGTTAAAACGCGATATGTTAGATAAACTTTTTTGGATATTATTTTAAATATGGTAGCCTCGTTAAAGTCGGGCCTAAGTTAAAATAATTTCCAGATAAGTTTAACTAATAAATTTAACGTTTTAAACAGTTAAATTGTTTTATTTAACAGGGAAGTTGTAGAACACTGAAAAACTAATTTTGCTTCTTAAAATATTCGTTCATTGACTGTTGCCAACAAAGGATAAAAATAACACAAGTTCGGGTATAATTTTGATCGTTGAATCTAGTCTATAATTTGAAGCTGTCCAGTGCTTGTGTTACTTTTAGAATTATTTAATAAATTGACAATCGCATGATCGAATCTTTGCTAATATTGTAAAGCTGAAGAATTTATTTGTTAGAACGCGCTTATCTCAGGAACTTTAGGTTCTAGTTAAAACTTATTTTTGTGTTGGTTACAGCATTACTCTGGATACCAATAGGAGCAATGGAAAATGTGGAACAAACGGAGAACATGATTTATTATGGAGAGTTTTTGTTACATCCCCTGCGAGTACCGAGTACGGTTCGAGATGCCAAAGAATATGTATAAAAGAATAATTCCTCTTTAAATGATCTAAAAAAAAGTGCGGGACAGTATATGTCCATATTTTAAGATTAACTTGCAAGATCGATGGGGCGCGAACGACGCCGTAGGAGTCGCTGTAATTTATAAAGATGTGGACGAGGTTTGCAAAAACTACTTTTGTCGCCTAAATAGCTATTCTGCGCGGACTAAGTCGCGAGAACAGCTAGTTTTATATATTCGGAAACAAATAAAGCGTATAAAATAAAATGAACAAAATCATACTACAAAACTTTCACGTTTTAACGACACACCTATTCAAATCATCTTTGAAAGAGGAACTTATTTAATAATGTAGATAGCGAAAAAAAACGATACACATTCCCTTGTACCTGTATATTTGCATTTCATCGTTTTACTGAAATAGTTTTGCATTTGCAAAGAGAATATTTCATGAGAGTAGCGATGGAGACCTGTGTAGTTTGGGCAGAGTTTGAAACAAAAATTTCGCTCATGTGTCGGAATATGTGGGCTCGCGTCTTCGTCTGTGCGTTGTTATTTTTTTTCTTAATACATTAAATAAAGAAAAATTTCCGTTAAACATGTAAACACGGGTAAATATAAGTTATTTTATCAGTATTATACTAGGGGAAACAAAAGTCATTGTAACTTTTAAATAAAACAGTAACGGTTTAAAATGCGGTTTAAATATATATTAGTTAAAGTAATTGTAACTACGCCCAGATGTTTCTATATATATCGCGTTTTAAACCGTCAAAGTGTATTATTTCAATGCGTACTACTCGTGTAAGCTACAGACAGAGCTAAGCTTACTCTATTTTTTAATACCAACGTCCCAGTATTTTTTTAACTTTACCTATACTTACCAATACCAATACCTTTGAGACTTATCCTTATATCACACATTGACTTAATAAATTTATGAAACACCTAGGCCACCGACAAATGATTTATAATTTACTAGCTTTGCCAGCGACTTCGTCCGCGAGAACAGTTATTTTGGGTATCCAAATTCGTTTTTGCGCCGGTCGCATCCCTTCCCGTCGTTCTTGCAAGTTAATCTTAAAAGACAGACATGTATACGTATGTGTCGCAGACTTTTTTCATCATATTTTTTGAGTATCTTGAATCTTTTTTGTAGCGAACGCGCCGAGCGAAATCAAACCAATGTTGAATAATTTTCCCAATTTTTCACATATCTTGCTGTATCTTCGTTTGCATTAGTCACAGGGCGATATTAAATACCCTATAGCCTTCCTTAATAAATTCTCTAACCGACACAAATATTATAATTTTTCAATTAATTTATAGTTCCTGATATAAGCGCGTTCAAACAAATAAACTCTTCAGCTTTATATATATATTATATAGACTTATGTTACAATGTAGATAATATGTTGAAATTCATAAGCTCTATCAGTAGAAACTTTTGTTAGGGAACTATTAAATTGGTGGGATTTAACCCTAATAAATAAGCGTAGTTATATACCCCAAAATTATTCTAATCCGTTAAAACCTTTTTAATATATAAGACGTTAAACTAAAATTTAAAACCCTTTATAAGTATGACATATGTATAGTACGGCGGGCTAGTTTATTGCTACTAATAGATTAGATAAAAAGATAATTATATTTTACGTTGATAAATTACCATAATATTTCATAATACTTTTATAAGTGGCTCGTTGCCATTTTCTTGCAAGGGAAAAATAAACTTTTATTCCCAGTGAACGATGAAAAACTTCGTTGAATATAAATTTAGTTCTTTCATTGAATTTGTGTTTAAACTTTGAACAGCTGTTGAACAAGCCCTTAGAATTTCAATATAACACTTTAACAGTTTAAAACGCGATATGTATTAGTAAAACTTGAGAAGAGTTAGTTAAACTAAAGAGGCTTTAGTCTCCCTGTGATCACGGCCGCTTTAAAGCATCCAAAACGGCGGGCCGTAGATAAACTAATTTTCAAATAAGTTTCATTAATATATTTCGCATTTTAAACCGTTAACGTGTTTTATTTACTTTTTGTAAAAATCATCTGCAAAAAGATATTTTAAATAGGTAGGATAAATAAATGCAACGAAAATGAATAGTAAATTACCTTAATTAAAAAAAATATTTATATTAAAATAATTATGTCGCTGGCGAAAGTTGAACCGGCATTCACAGCTATCCGTGCTGTTGCTCTAACCAACTGAGCTACCGTGTCAAACGTCAGTTATACATGTATTAAATCTAAGTGGATTTTTAATTTATATTGTACCAGTGTTATTGTTTTTGACGGGCTTGTAGAAATGTACGGCTAATAAACGGGTTGTGGGTTCGATTCCCATCGGGTCATCATTTTAAAAATTAATTTATCATTTTTCTGAAACATAGTAGGAATATTCAAATTCCGTCCGGGTAACGAACCACTGTCCACAGACGAAAAAGTCGTGAAGTTTAATGGAGTTTCGGCTTCAGTCTGTGGATTCGGACTAAAGCAAAAATAGGTCGACATCTTGCTGAGATGTTATGGTATTTCACTTGGGAACCTTATGCTTGTCTGTCTATATAAAAAAATATTCTCAACCTTGTAATTCCGGCTAATGTTGCTCCGGACAGTCCCGTGCCTCCAATGGTAATATCCCAGATCGCTGTCCCGGGGCCACAGCATTTTGTTCCCCTTGAAAAATGGCGCCCAGTTCTCGGCGATCAGGCGGTGAGCGAAATCGATGTAGCCGGAAATTTCGAAACCGCCCTTAGTGAAGTGGCGAATGAAAATTATCGACTGCGAATAGAGAACTAAATTTCAATAGTTTATTCAAAATACATTAAAACACTTTTACCTATTAAGACTATTTTCTATATACATGAGGCCTTAGTATTATTACACATCGACAAATATGAAGGGTCTTTACTGTGTTACAAAATATCCTTAATGTCTAGTTTCTTTGTCTTATATATACTTTCATAAAAATAATTTCCAGGATATTTCAAGAGTATTTGATTTAATAATTACTGACATCCGTATATAAACAAAGAAAGAAAGAAAACAAAGATAATAGGTACTGCCGTCTTATGGGTAAAAATTTTTATTATTTAAGTTTATAGTGACTATTTTTTTTGTTTTGGAAATCTCCTCCTCAAAGATGTGCTGTTCCACATTTCCCACTGTCCATCGCTCCTATTAGTCGCAGCGTGATGTTTAATTGCCTTGCCTTCTTCGATAACCAACACAAAAATATTTTTTCATTTAGAACCAGTAGTTCCTTAGATTAGCGCATTCAAAGAAACAAACAAAGCTTTAATATATTATTAATAATATATAAATAAAGATTATTCAACAATTCAGATAAAGACGACGATACTTTACAATTTACGTTACAATAACTACAACATTTAACAGTTAACTAACTGCATTCCTCAGAAAGCATGTTTACCTCATAACTGATTATACGCATAGAACACTGTAAAAGAAACATTCTATTTTCCCCCTGCAGGTCATGCCTATTTTAGACTTTGTCAGGCTCTCTGTGTCCTGCTTAGCCGATTTTTTAACGAACCCAGGACCGAACACTAATGGGTTACGAAGCAAAACTTTTAACGTACGGCGACGGTCCTTCGCGACATGTGGAATTCAATGAATGAAAACATTTAAATAAACACTTTCACGGTTGAAAACGCGATATATTAGTTAAACTTATTTGGAAATGATTTTTAACTTCGGCCCGACGTTTCGGATGCTTTGCAGCAGCCGTGGTCACGGGGAGAATAAAAACATTTGAGCTGGAACGTCAGCAGAAAAAAATACTTATCTTCTAAGTTGAACAAGTAAATATTGGAAGAGAAGTTATCATACAAATTGGTACACACCTGTAGAATGCCAACTCTATTTGCTCTTTCTCTTACTGCCAGCTCCCTATTGAAAGGGTCCTCAAGATCAGCGCCCTCGCTCACCAGCACATACGGCTGTACCACTGGGAACACTACACCGTGTATAACCTTTCGGCGTTTGTAAAACTCCCTTTCTTGCAATGTGTCGCCATTTGCTCTGAATAAACATTAAATATGTATACACTAAATGGAAAAATCTTACGCTAATCACTTAAAGCTTTCCGATGTTTTGTTCTAATGAAAAAAATAAATTACTAAATTTAAAAATCGAAAATAAATAAACAATAATTATCGACTCGGGCAGGATGTGAACAGGCACCGTTAAAAAGAACATAACTTAGTAGTGCAAGACCCCTAATTCCTCCTCAAATAAATACTCTATTATAACAGTAATTGAAATAAGTACTCTGTGAGAACTTTAATTATTTAGTTATCATAGTTCTCTAGATAACGGACCTAATGGATTCTTAGTACCCAAACGGATTGTAACGGATTCAATAATTTCAAACCTAATGGAAATTCAGTTTCATACAAAACGAATCCCCGAGCAAATATTAATATTTCACCTATATCCGAACGCAGCAATGGTCCGAGCGGCGGGTATGCTCCTGAGGTTTCGCAGGTCAGCAATTTCAATGAGTGAATCTAAATAATCCTGCCATGTTTCAAACACCAGCAGACGCCGGTCCGCCTCAACGCTAGCCGGATATTCGTTCTTTTTCTCCGCCATTTGCTTTCCTAGCACTTATAAAATAACTAAAAAAACAGAGCTAAAAATTTGTTTTGTTATCGAAAAACTGACAGGTGATGTGATCGTGTTGTCAAAAGTTCGTCAGCGTCGTGCATTTAAAACCTCTGTCGATTATACAGATACTAGCGACGCGTCCCGGCTTCGCAGATAATACTGAGCTATATATATATAAATATATTATAAAAATGAAGAGGTTGTTTGAATCGCTAATCTCAATTCAAAAAATTGGCATTGAGGGCTTCCGTTGCCTTCGCTGCGAAAACGGCTAAAAAATGAAAAAAAAAATAGTGTGAAAGAATGATTATTTTTTAATGACTTATAAAAATGTTCGCGAAAGTATATGTCTATTACGTAGGTATAAAAAAACAGGTATAAACCTACCGTGACCACGGCTGCTGCAAAGCATCCGAAACGTCGGGCCGAAGTTAAAAATAATTTTCAAATAAGTTTAACTAATATATCGCGTTTTAAACCGTTAAAGTGTTTTATTTAAAAGGTATAAACCTGTTAAATCAAAAAAGCCAATACTAATATTAAATTCGTTTATTTGAGACTCATGTACATCAATTTTTATTTAAAAAAAAATGATGTGTAGAGTATCGTTGTTGTAAAGTTAGCTATGTATGGCTAGTAATCAAGGGATCGTGAGTTTGGCCCCACCGGGTTCTTCATTTTTTTTATTAATATCTGTTTCTAGCAAATTTCTAATAATTTCTCAGAAAGATGTTGGACTTTTGAATTTCTGAATATGCCAAATCAAAGGTCGACAACGCATCTTGTCTAGATATTAACTGACTTGCTATTTCACCTTCCATCGAGCGAATCTCACGTTTGTCAGTCGTTCTCTATCACGAAGAAACTTGATCAGTTAAAAGCAAAAGTTTTCGGCCTTTTCAGAAGGCTCTATTAGAAACGATTTGAATTGCTATCAAAATAATCACCCGATAATGGTTTCCGGTGAACTTTTAACTATTTTTGTGTTGAGTTTAATTGAAATTCTTTGGGGGATGTTTTGAAAAGTTTAATTAACCTTTAGTAGTATGTTTTAGGTTATATTTTTAGTTGTCGATTTAAAGTAAAAAATTCCAAAAATTATCCAGGAGAAATAGGTATTTCAAATATGTATCGTACAAAAATAAAACCGGTAAAATCAAAGCGGACTCTCTCATTAAAGGTTGCGTATCGGCACATCTGCTACGCTAGCGCCATCTGTTGGTTGGCATGACTTTTGACTTTGACATTAGGGACACCCTCCATGTTCAATTCCCCTGTTACCACGGTTACTTTAAAAAAAAACGTGGGGCTGAAATTAATATAATTGTAAGTAAAGTAATAATAAGTTTTTTTTAATACGTACTACTCTTGTCAACTACGGCCAGTACTAAAAGCATTTATTATTACTATGTAATAATGTTGTCTAATCTCAAGAATCGCTTAATTTTGGTGCATGGACTATCGTTTAGTTAACAGACGTTTACTAATTAATAGAGGTAACTTAAGTCTTGTGCAACAGACAAGCAAGGCTCTATTTTGGAGAATATCTCGCCTGTAACTCAGTACAAACAAAAAATACTTTAATTCAATAAGTGTAGTCATTGTAATAAAACCTTTAACGGTAAGTTACTTATCATTTGTTGTTAAAATAAGTTTAACTAATATATATCGCGTTTTAAACCGTTTAAGTGTTTTATTTGAATGTGTCTACTCGCATAAACTACAACCGGTATTTAAAGAGTAAATTCCACGAATATGTAGCGAGAAACCAAAGCTACCTTGGAGGTTACAATAATAATTACTAGTAATGGTAACACTAAAACTATAATAAAGTTATAGAATGTTAAAAAATTTCTCAACGTTTGATTTCATGATTTTTAACTAAATCAAATTTGTTAACCAAGCAAAGAAAGTATCAACAATTTGCCATTACTTAATTTTGTTTATATAACGTTGAGAAAACTTTGACCAATATCGCTAATACAGTGAGACCCAGTCACGCAAACCAGGAGTTAATTGATATGAGAAAAAATAACCTTTTATGTACCGAAGACAAAAAAATCAGTCTAGCATACGTTTATCTTCTACAAGAATATTCGTACCATATATTCTTGTTTAAAACTTTTCATTTAAAGCTCCAATAATCTTGAATTGAAACAGACGTGCTGACTGAATGAACACGTTTATTTTCAAAAGCACTCACTGAGAGGAGATAAAACTCACTGCATTTGAAGAAAATTATCACTACCATAGGTACACGTCATAAATGACATATTGGAAGACCTGAGTCTGTAGTTCACTCGTCGTGCGTTATATAAAACACTTTTAACGGTTTCAAACGCGATATGTATTTGCAGATATTTGATGGGCAATCTAAAGTCTAATGGTAGTGTAATAAGGGGTCGTGGGTTCGATTCGAAACTACCTCAACATTGAATACGTTTAAAAAAGTTAGGATTTTGAAAATAGATGGTAGAACATGTGTAGTTCAAATGTAAAAAGCTGTTCCGGTTTCAGAATGTGGATTTCTGAGAGTAAAGAGCCGAAGTAGATCGAGAGTGCATCCTATTTAGGAGTTATATGACTTTTTTTTTTTTTTTCTTGTATAGAATTTTTTTTCCGAGATTACGTTTCAAATCTCTGTCAATATGTTGAGCGATTAAACCGTTAAAAATGTTTTATTTCAATCTGTACTACTCGCGTGAACTGCAGACTATACTTAAGATGATTATTATTGTACATTGATATGAGAACTGGCAGTAGATGTAAATTTAGAGTCTAGTTTTTAACTGGTGTGACGTTCTTATGTCTACGTGAAAAAAATAATTTTGACTTATACAATACTCCGTATCAAATGGTTAAACGTAAGCTGTATGAAAAAGAAAGATGTATCTGCCACAGGGCTCATAAGGAGGAAAGGACCGCACGTTACACATTTATGTCGGGTCACATTTATAACGTGGTCTATGAAACGCCTCACTTGACACTCAGTTAAAATTTCCTCCGACAATTTAGATGCCAAGCATGATATATAGTGCAAGTGTGTGGTACAAATTTTCCGCACATTTAAATTCAACTCAAGTAGAGATTACATTATGCGAGAGAATAAGCAAAGTTCACATCATCCTTACAACTTCAGACGGCGCTAGTTTGTTCTTATTTTCTATCAGGCGCTAACAAACTGCGGTGGAACATTGTTATGTTTTAAGATGGAGTTGGATGTTGTTTCTTGGTAAATTAATAACAATAATATAACACGTTTTCAACAGTTTAGAACTCGCAATATTTGAAAACTTTAATATTTTTCACCGGTGAATGCAGGTTCAAGTCCGGCAAGACAGGTGTCGTAACATTTTTCATTCTAAAATCGACTTTTAATTTATAAAATATAATACAAATATACTTTCGCTATAAAAACACATTTAAATAAAATACTATTAACGGTTTCAAACGCACAATATATTAGTTAACTTTAGCACGACAGTTGCAAAGCATCCGAAACTATTATGTTTCTCCAGGATACAAACTCAGGCTCTCTCCTGCTTAACTTCAACCATTGACCTACGAAGTACTAACTAACTCTACCTCTTTCAAAGTAAATTTAATTTCATTGTTGGTAGTTGGCGCGTATAAATAAAAAAAAACTTAACAGTTTCAAACTCAAAATTTTAAATACCGCCCGAAGCTTCGTGTGCTATGCAGCCGATATTTGACATGTCAAATCTTTACAAAGTGCTTTTTTTTTATAATTATTTATTATCTGCACAATATGTACGGTATTATGATTATTTTTCCGAACGAGCTAGATATATTCAAGACGTCCCTTTCAATTTTGCAGTTCAAAGGAACGCACGCACAATACAGCAAGGTCTGTGTGCAAATCAGTTTACTTTCAAATGCAAATGTGTGCTCGCGAGGCCAATTACAAATAAGATTGTGTTTCAGGACTATTAGCATATCCTGTATTCGGCATATGAAATGTTATGCGCCTATATGATAAATTAAACGCTTTAAACGGAATTAATAGCAAATATTTGTATAAAATATTATAGTATAGTTTAGTAATTTTTTTTACATATTCTGTGGTTTAACTGAAAATAAGATTCAAGGTCAACACAAGAACAAATAAGTTGAACAACTTACGTATTGTCGCTAGTTTACGCTAGTAGTATAGATTTAAATAAAACACTTTCAGCAGTTTAAAACGCGAAACATATTAGTTAATTTATTTTTAATTATTTTAACTACGATTGATATCAATTTTCTTCGATAATATCGCAGACACCCCTTATAACACTAGACATATAGAAAAATATTCTCCATCGACACACATTTTAATGAAACACTTTTAACGGTTTAAAACATGAAAAGTAGTTGTTAACTTATTTACCTAAAATTTATTTTAAACGAAAAGTCACCGTGACTTAGTTCTGCAAGTAACCAGATATTTTCACCGATGACGGAATAGATGGCGCTAGCGTTGTAGTTTTTACGTTGACATTAGGGTCCACCCTCCATCTTCATTTTCCCTCTCATGATCACCACTGCTCCAGTGCATCCGAAACGTCGAGGACCGTAGTTAAAATAAATTCTAAATACGGTTACTAATATATTTTGTGTTCTAAAACTGTTTTATTTCAATAAGGTTTTTTTTTTAAAAACTAGCTGTGCCAGCGACTTCGTCCGCGAGAATCGTTATTTTGGGCATCCAAATTAATTGTTGCGAACCCCGTCATCTTAATGAACATAAGCTGTTAGCCACGACGTCGATCGCGTCCCTACCCGTCGTTCTTGCAAGTCAACTTTAAAAGATAGACATATAACATCGGACTTTTTTTAGATAATTTAAAGAAGAATCATTCTTTGATACACATTTTTAGTTATCTTAAACGGTTTTGACGAAAAGATGATGATGATGAAAAATTTCCCCCGTTTCCCACATTTCCCGCTGTATCTTCGCTTCCATTAGACACAGCGCGATGTTT